GTGGGTGACGTGTAGGTCTGTTTCACTTCTTTCTCTCGCGGAGCTTGGCCATGTTTGCTGGAGGCTGTGCCTGAGTTACCAGCTGTCTTCGTGATTCCTCTGTTCCTCTCTTTGGTTTCTGGAAATATTATTTGTAAACATTATTCAGTTTATAGAACAAGCGAGGGATTGGATGAGGAAGAATTCTGCCAGGGAGCAGGTGACACTGGAGTGTTTTAGGTCAGCTGGGATTGGGTGAGACTGGATCAGAGCTTGGAGATAAGTCTGAGTAAATGGAAGAGCCCACGCGCCCTGCTCACACCCGTGCTTTCTGACGTCAGATCGAAATTGTATTTCAATTTGTGCCTCTTTTTCTTTTTCCTGGAGCCAAAGCCCTCCATGCACAGTCCCTGTCAGCATTCTGCAGAATTCTAGAAAATGCCGGTTTCCCCCTCCTTTTCCATAAAACATATTTATATATTGTGATTAGAAGTACTTTCTGAGGAGTACTTCATATTTTTTTTAATTGCCTTGTTTGCCTTCAACTTCCTTAATTTTCATGGTTTACATGGATATGTGTGTGTAGGGGGACTGTGTGTGCGTGCGTGTGTGGGGGTGGGTGGGTTTGGGTTTTTTTCCGTTGCATGTATTGGTCCTGTGGACATATGATCCCCACACACTGTGGGAGTGATTGGCCAGGCCTTTTCTCGTTTGTGTTCTTGCTCTTTTGAAGAATAGAGTGATACTTAGATAATAAATTGCATTGCAAAGCTCTTATCGGCTCATATGAGAGAGCAGGCTGCTGCCCTTGAAGATGCTGGTAAGTTGTATCATGTGTTTTAAAAGAATCATGAGCATTTCATGCTTTAAAACTCCATCATGAGGGGACGTGACACGTGGAAATTCATCTGGGTTTCCTTTGTCGTATGGTGCATATAGCAATAAAGATTTTCCCACCCTCCTGCCCAGCCCTACACCAGCCTTGGCCCTTCTCAGTCTCCTTTTGTCACTGACAGCTGTGAGTTCTCTCCAGTGTGACAAAACTGAGGTCACTTGGAAGGATCTGCAAGACAGAGTCGATCTTGAGGGTGGCGTGTGTGTGGCGGCAGTGCTGTGAGGTCTTGTCTGGAGCGCTACCTTCACCTGCTCACGACCAAGTGCAAGCATGGTTTCAGAAGGAAACTGGTGATTTGAGGACAGGAGAAAGGTCACTTTTCACTGCTGGAAATAGGGTCTTAGATTCTCTTAGGATCATGTCTGCATTTGTTTTATTGGTGTGCAGTCTCTCAATGTGCACCTCGCCGTCTCTCCACCGAGTTGACCTCTGAATGGGAGATGCGGTTGTTAACTTACAGCTGCTCGTGTGGTGGCATCACCCCGAAATTCCCATGTTAAAAATCGCAGTAGGAATCCAGTGTGACCGTGTCAATATTTTAGCAGCTGAAATTCTTTAATGCTACTGATTGGTGACCCCTTAAAGCAGTTTTGTCTTTGCAAGGTTCCCCTTTCATGCTGGGATCTTTGGGGAAGAGGGGATATTTGAAAAATGCTCACTTTGACATAGTGGGGACTCTGCAGAGTGCCTCTGCCACCAACATGAAGAACTGAACAACGGCCACAGATACTGATTGTACCCACTCACCGCCGACGATGGCATTGAACGTAGTAGCTAGCTTGTCTTACTCACTACGATTGTGTGTGGGGGGTGGTTGGTGT